ACAAACCAACCAGCACCGCCCTCCTAAAATAATAGAGGCTGGGTGTGGTGGGACATGTCTGTAATTCCAGCTACTGGGGAAGCTGAGGCAGGAAGATTGCAAGATCAAGGCCATCCCGGGCAAACTAGTGAAACCCTGTCTCAAAATATAAACTGAAAAGGGCTGGGAGTGTGCCTAGGAGAGTGAGTAGCCCTGGTTCGAGGCTGAGAATGTGCAGTTCTCAGCCAGAGCTCTCCTCTCTGTCACAGGTAAGAAGCTGCTCCCCACACAGGAGCACCTCTGGGAAGACAGACAGCATTGTCTTAGTTCTCCTATTTTGAGCTGGTAACCAGAAAGCTTGTCTTTATGAAACTCCAGAAAATGAGCTAAACCGACACAAACAGCCAGCAGCAGTCCGCAGCTCCCTCCGAGCTGAGCTGGCAGGAAGGAGGGGACCCCCCAGGGACCCAAAGGCAGCTGGAGGCTGGAGATGAGAACCAGCTGGTCAGCGTGTGAGCCGGGCTGTGACGGCATAGCACAAAAACCCAGACCCCAGCACTCACTGGCGGGGGTGGGATTTTCTCCTGAGACACAGAACCAAAGCAGGCAGAGATGGCAACCAGAGGTGTGTTAGGGCACTCGGCTCATGTGACTTGGGGACTGACAGGGCCCAGGAGGCCACCTGCTGGCTAGAGACCCTCAGAAGTCACCCTCCCAAGGCCTTGGTCGCAGGGAAGCCACAGGCTACAGAATCCGGGGTCCACTGCCCATGTTCTAGAGTCCAGAGCCCAGCGAGCCTGGAGTTGAGATGACAGCAGGAGAGGGGGTCCCAGCCCAGGAAAGGAGGAAATTGCATCCGAGCTGTCTCTGGGGCCCCTGCAGACTCGATGGTGCCTGCACCCAGTGCAGATGGGTCTCCCCCACTGCACCTACTCACCTGGCACCTCCTGCAGGACACCCCAGATGTCCCCAGAAGTCATGCTCTCCCTGTTCCCCTGGCAATCCTTTATCCTAAAACCAACCATCACTAGAGGCCTAAAGAATGGTGAAAAATAAAACATCATCAGATTCAGGAGGCCTGTGAGTGTCCAGCCTCCCAGGATCGGTCCTCAGAAGGGAGACTGTTTCCCCCCCTGCTGTCTCACTCACCAAGTGTGTGTGCTGCTGGATGTTTGTTGAATGAATGCCTGATAGGGAGAGGAAACAGATGGGTAGCAAGCTGGGGGGACACTAAAGCTGCTGAGGAATCCACAGTCTCTACCTCCTCTCCCTCCTGCCCGGGAGGACCTGTGGTGGGTGGGTCAAGGGGAGGGATTCTGAGGGAGCAAGGGGATGCAGGGCAGGGGCACACAGTGTCTGGGAGCCTCAAAAAAACGGCATCCCCAGCCAGACCCTCTTCTCTACAGCCAAATGCCCAATCCCCCGCCCCAGGTACAGTGTCCCAAGCTAGAGAACACCCCAGCAAGTCTTGAAGGAAGATGTGGCTGGTTGTCCACGTGGGCACAAGACTCTGCTACCCCACACCCAGCACCAGAGGCAGCCAGCTGCTCCGCCACCAGAGTCCCGGGGCTCCTGGGCCCAATATTTATATAGATGCGGAAGTCAGGGCCTGGGGTATTTTTAGCAGGGTGGGCTCAGATCTAGAAGAACACGGAATCAGCCTGGGAGGCCAGGCTAAAGGACTGACCCTGCTCCTGCTGGGATCACCTGCGTTCTGGTCCCAGGCGCCCTAAGGGTCTGTGCTGTGGGTGCCTATTTGGGGTGGGAGCCTAGATCCCTGGGCCCAGCTTTCTTTCATTCTGTGGGGCTTTTATTGAGTAGGCATCTGCTTTTCTGAGAAAAGATCAATCCCACTTGCCTGCAGGGGCCAACAGCTTGCACAAGGGTCCGCCAGACTTTCACTCTGAGGCTGGCCAGCTCTGCCTTTGGGGCTGGCAGTTACCTCAACCCCTTCTGTATTTGTTTCCTGTGGCTGTGGTAATAAATGTGGCTTAAAACAAGAGCGATGTAAAACAAAACAAAACAAAACAAGAGCGATGTGTTCTCTCAGTTCTGGAGGCCAGAGGCTCCCTAGGCAGGCTGCTCTCCCTCTGCAGGGTCCTGAGAGGCGGCTGCGGTCCGGCCTTGGTGCCCCCTGGGTTGCAGCTGTATCACTCCAATCTCTACCCCTGTGGTCACTGGATTTCTTCTTGGTGTGTTTGTCTTTTCCTCTTCTAATGACACCAGTCATTGGATTTAGGGCCATTCTAATCCAGGGTGACTTTATCTCAAAGTGAGTACATCCTCCAAGACCCTATGCACCAGGTTGGGACTCAGTAGATCCCTTATGGGGGACTCAATTCAACCCATGACCCTGTGTCCCCACCTGTAGACAGGCAGGTGAAGTGGCCTGGAAGAGGTGGTGAGGCCACCCCATACCTGTTGTTTCTTCCGCTCTGGGGTGGGGAGCTGAAGAAGGGATAAACAGATGCGGCTTAGGCAGAAAGGGCTGTGGATCCTACAGGTCCCCAGGCACAAGTGTGTGGTCCCGCATCTAGGCCACAAGTTCTTTCCAGTGTCCAAGTTCATGTCTTCCTGCTACTAGGTGTCCCACCACCCCATTAGAGTTCCAGACAGGATTCAGAAGGGGGCTGTGAAACAAAGCACTCTTAAAACCCCACAGTAAGAATACAGCCCAAAGTAAAAATGGGCCAAAGACCCGGACATCTCACCAAAGAAGACACAGATGTGACACGATGCTATACATCCTGTGTCACCAGGGAAATGTAGACCAGAGCAATCACTTCACACCTACAAGAATGGCCAGAATGCAGCAGTGGTCACACCGGATGCTGACCCTCAGCTCATTTCATGCTGGTGGAAAATGCCAGATGGTACAGCCACAGCCTGGCAGTTTTCACGAAACAAAACCCATCCTAACTATATGCCCTACGATAGTGCACCTTGGTATTTATCCAAATGAGCGGGAAACTTCTGTCTGCCCGAAGGCCCGCACACAACGTTTGTAGCAGTGGTATTTACAGTTGCCCAAATGTGGAAGCAACCAAATGCCCTCCAGTAGGTAGATGGATTCCAAAGTGGTTCCAGAGATAGAATATTACTAAGCACCAAAAAGGAGCAGAGCTGCCAAACCGTGAAAGGACCTGGAGGAGACTCAGAGGCCTGAAGCTTCGTGAAGGAAGCTGGACTGAAAGGGCCATGTACTGTGTGATTCCAGCTTTAAGACACTCTGGAAAAAAAGCCAAGCTATGGAGAAGGCCAGAAGAGCAAGGGTTCGCTGGGAGGGACACACAGAGCACAGGGGGTCGCCGGGGCGGTGAAGCTACTCTGTGACGTTATAACGGCAGAACACGTCAGTCAGCATCTGTCCACACCGGTAGAAAGTGCCACACCACGAGGGGCCCCTCCTGCAAACTGTGGGCATCGAATGTGCCAGGGAAGTTCTGCAGATTGCGACAAATGTGCCGCTGTGGTCGATGTGGGTGGCAGAGAGAGGCTGAGCAAAGATGGGGCCGGGCTGTATGGGAAAGCTCTTCCTTTCGACTGCTGGATACCTAAAACTGCTCAAAAGAACAAAGTCTGTTGAAAGGAATAGGCGCCATTTTTAAAAGAAGGCTTCGGCCTGGCTCCTAAGCTTCCCACCCGCCAACCGCGTTCCTGCTAGACAGGATCACGGCAAAGGCTTGGGTTTGCTCTGCTTCCTTCCGGCTCTGTTAGGCTCAGAGGGAGATGCGGACCAAGAGGGACCCGGGCCTGGGCTCCCTCTGCCTGTGTGCTGTGGCTAAGGCCTCCACCCACCGAGTGGGGGCACAGGTGGACTTCTGAGGCCCAGGCAGCTCCGGTGACACATGACGGCTTTGATCTCTGTGAGCAGGTTGGATTGCATGAGGCCTCTCACCTGGCATTGTGTACCAGGACATTAAAGGCCGGCAGAGTTGGTGCCAACTGTGAATTTAATCTGTCCAAAAACAGATGGTGCCACCTCTGTGGGCCACACCTAGGCGTACTTACTCGGTCTGTTCCAGGAGGTCCCAAAGTGTGGAGCCCAGGCCCCTGGGAGCGTCTCAGAGACTCAGATCCCACTCCCAGCCCCCGTCAGAGCTGCCCAGAGATACCAGGGTGTGGCCCTGCTGGCTGGAGCAGTCTCAGCACCGCTGGTACGTTGGGCCGGCTCATTCCCAGAGCCGGGGTCCATCCTTGTGCATTGTGAGTTGCTGACCCACAGCCCTGGGTGCCATCCACTGGGCAACCCCCACCCCAGCTAGCGACAATCAAGTACATCTCAGCACAGTGCCAATGGGGCCAAAACTGCCTGCAGCTGCGGAGCCCTGGCTGGACAGAAGCCTCCAATTACACAGCGTCAAATACAGTGCCATGTAAAACCGTAAACCCACGCTGACGGCCACGTGGCTCTTGTAGATTGTCTGCTCCTCTGAGCAACTTCGCAGTGGCCCCCAATTCACAGCAAACCCTGGCTCCCTGCTTATAGGCTGTGACCTTGAGCAAGTTACTTAAACTCTCTGTGCCTCTGTTGTCTCAACTGTAAAATGGGGATATGACAGGTACTCACCTGGTACAATGGCTGAGCACAGAAAAGGACAACTTGTGTGGCACAACCCCAGCCCGGAGCCTGCAGCATAGTGAGCCTCAACAAATGCTAGCAAACGTTAGCCACTCCTGGTCATCAAGCCTGGGCTTTTACCAAAAAGTGAGTTTGTGTCCCCACTGGAGGGCAGCAGAGGGAGGGCAGCCTGAGGAGGGCACGACTGCTCGGCACACACCGGACAGTGAATAGCACGTCGCCCATGGCCTCGGTGCCGAGCACTGAGAGGGTGCCCAGGTCTCTGGCTCCTGCAGGACTCCCCTTGGGCGGCCCCGAGCTTCACAGCCTCAGCACTGTGGGCTCCGAGGGACGCAGACAAGGTCTGGGGGTCCTGGACATCCACCTCCCCCACACTGGGCAAGCCCTGGGGGCCCAGGAAAAGACGAGGATAGCATGGTTCTTCTGCATCTCACATCCCAATAAAATATTTATTATTTCAAGAAATAAATCTTTAAAAAAAAAGAGAGAGAGAAAGAGAAATGAGTGTCTCTATTGCTTTCCCCCGACAGGTCAGGTACGTGGGAGCTGCTGTTTCCTGCAGCTGAGGGCTCCGTGGGGGCAGCGGCCACCCGCCAGGCCAGCAAGGGATCTGTGTACCTTCAGCCCCACGGCAGGGCCCAGCTCCGGGCCCTCGGCCTCCCTGGGAGGGCTGAGGGTCAGGCCCGGCCTCACCAAGCAGGGGTGGGAGTGTTTCTGCAGGCCTGACCCATGGAATCAGACAGGGCTCTGGGTGTGGGTGGAGGGGCCCCGGAACCTGTAGTCAGAGGGTGGAAACTGGCCTTGGGGGTTGGGGGAGAGGGACTGAGGCTGCACAGACAAACCCAGCATCCGCAATTGCAGGTCTTGGCAGGATGGGTTCTGAGAGATGCCGGAAGAGAAGGGCGTTGGAACAGGCAGGAGAGAGACAGTCCAGCCGGACGCGGGAGGGGTCCAAGCGCAGAGAGGAGGGATGGGGAAATCAGGAGGGACAAAGGGAGGGCAGGATGGGGCCAAGGAGGCATGGCAGGGTCACCTCTGCCCCTCCGTCCATCCCCTAATCCGTTCCAGAGGGACACAGCTGGTCCCGTGTGCGTGGCTGCCCTCTCAGGAAGAGGGCACCCTGAAAAGCGAGTGTGGCCCAGGCTCCATTCCTGGGCCCTGCAGTGGGGCCCAGGGCACCATGGTGCTGCTCCCCATCCTGCAGATGAGGAGGCCCCGGCCCTTTCTCTATGTGGTTCCAAGCTCGCCTTGAACAAAGCAAAGGGACTCCGACCCTTTGCTGCTGGGCTGTGCATCCGAGGTGAGAACAAGGAGCTGCCCATGCGGGGTCCTGGGCTGGAGGTCGCTGCCTCCCAACCCTGGGCTCGGCTCTCCTCTGCCCACTTCCTGGCCCTGGAAGGAAGCTCCAGCTAGAGGCGTCGCGGTGCACGCTTGGGTGGTCGGACCCGGGAATCTGCTGGTGCTTTCTCCCGCATGGCAGGCTGGCCTGGGCGCCAGGCAGTGTGGCTTCCGGGATCTCACAGGCAGCCCTGGCACAAGGCCACCTGGCCCTTGCGGAAGTCGCGGCACGGGCAGAGCCGCTGGTACTTGGTGCTGGCACCGGCACAGCTGAAGAGGAGGGGCTCCTTCTGCAAGTAGCACTCCTGGCCAGGCTGCGCCAGGGCTGGGTACAGGTGGTGCATCTCCCACTCTGTGCTGTCACAGGGCACCTGCAGCCTGCATGGGCACCAGCGGTGCTGTCACCCCTGTGGGCCTGGCATGCCGCCCCTCCCCTCCCCCTGAAGGGGGAAGAGGCAGGCTGCAGCTCCTGGTGTGCCTGTCTGAGGACTTGCAGAACAGGGGACCGGCCTGGGAAGAGGGGCTGGGGTCCCAGCTGGCCCAGCAGGAGGGCGGCTTTCACAGTCTACACCAAGAAGGTGAACACACAGGCGGGGTGCGGGGCAGGGCAGGGGAGGGCAGGACTGGGTGGTTTGGGCTCTGCCAAGAGTGTAGCGGGAGGACAGGGACACGCCCCAGAGTCGCTGAAGGACCAGGAAGCAGGAGGTCCCCCAGCCGTGGCAGAGCAGCTGGGGCTGGGGTGGGCAGCTCTGGGCACCCGGGCAGGTGGGGTAATGGGGACCGCACTCACTTGAGGAAGGCGTCCCGGCTGTTGAGGAAGGGGAAGAAGGAAGGCTCACAGATCAGGCCGTGGTCCAGGCAGGCATCGGTGCAGGCCCTTCCAGGGGCGGCCAGCCAGGCCCGCAGGGAGCGAGTGGGGGGCCAGGCCCCAGGGGCCAAGCTGGCGTTGCGAGCCCATTCCAGGTGGGTGGCGTTGGGGGCCAGGACAAAGGGGCTCTGGGCTGCGTGGGCACCTGGTAGGGTGGGGCCTGGGGCTGCACAGAAGTCCTGGCAGGAGGAGAGTGGTGTTGGGAAGGGATGGGATGCGGGCATTCTGGGTGACACCTGAGGGTCTGGCTTTGCAGTTCCGGGAGAGCCACTGTTGGGCACTTGCTGAATACCAGGCAGCCTTGCACGCACTCTTTCATTTGCTCGGGCAGCAGCCCTCCGGATGGACACTACACATCTCTAGATACTGTGTGGGGAGGGACAGGCTCGGGGGTCAGGGCTGCAGGGCTTGGGGCTGGCCCGCAGAGGCAGGGTGCGCTGAGGCCTGTCTGCAAGGTGTCCATCCTGCGTACCCCACTGCAGGCCTGGGGTCTCTTGTCTGAGGCCTGGGAGGCCTGCCCATGAGCAGACGGCCGCCAGCTCTCCTGTGAAGCCGGCCCCACTGGCTCAACTCCAGGGTCAAACATCCTCCACGTATTCCTGCCTTGTCTTGCCTTCCTTTCTCTTCCTGCCCTTTTCTTCCTTTCCTTTTCCTGGCCCTTCCTCTGTGTCCCGTAGTTCCCTCCCTCTCTCCCTCTGCTCTTTCCTCCCCGCTTTCCTTCCTTCCTTCCTTCCTTTTTCACTTGAGTACTAGGGATTGACCCAGGGCCACTCTACAACTGGGCTGCAACCCCAGCCCTTTTTACTTCTCCTTCAACACAGTCTCGATAAGTTGTCTATAGGCTGCCATCCCCCTGCCTCAGCCTCCTGAGTAGATGGGATTATAGGTGTGATCCACCATGCCTGGCTTGGCAAATGCCTTTTCTGTGAGTGTCACGAAGGGCACCTGTACATCTGGCTGGACAGGGCAAGCCCTGACCCCAAAGCCTCCATTCTATGACCCAGTGAGCCCTTCCCTCTCCAGCCTCCACATCCCCATGGTGAAGGGACAGATTCTCCCAAAGTCTCACTGCCTCACAACCGTGCTGCAGCAAGTGCAGGGCCCAGGCAGCTCATTCCCAGTCACACAAAGACCCAGAGCCTGAAGGCACCCCTCATGGTCATGCAGGGCTGGGCCAGGACTACCAGGAGAGGGCAGGCAGGTCCTTGGGCACCTCCTGGACTGAACCACAGTCACTGGTTTTCAGGTATTCTGAGCCACAGGGCATGGAGCAGAGGAGTCTGCTGGGTGTGCAGTCTGCACAGACCCTGGTGCTGGCTTGGCCCCTCCTCTGGTTTATGGGGTTTGGGGCAGGATCCCAAAGTTCCGGGGCAGACACCAGAGGCCCACCTACCTGGTGCTGAATGTAGGCGTGGATCCGCTCCAGCATCCCCTCACAGGTATACTCATAGGGCAGGTAGGGGTCTACCTGTGGGGGAGACAGGCAGGTGTGTGGGGCAGAGGAGAGCCGGCCACTGGGGTCCCTCACTCTCAGCCCTGGGGGGCCGAGGGGGGCATCTTGTACCCCAGGGATCCAATCGCTCTGTCTACCTGGCTCCTCTACTCAGCCCAGTCCCTGCCTTCAGTATACCCTGCAGTGGCCCTTGGGGACTCAGGCTCAGGACCCACAAGGCCCCGCTGTCTCCTGGCCTCTTCCCTTGTCCCTGACCCCCATAAACCCAGTGCTCGGTCCCCTTCTTGGGTATAATGCCCCCCGTTTCCCAAGTACCCTACCCGAGCCCAGGCAGTCACAGTGCGCTGCCCTCCCGGTACAGGACCACACTCCTCCGTGGCTCCCAGAATCCAGACTCCCTCCTTGTACAACACAGCACCTGTGTCATGGCCTCCTAAGCCTGGGGTGCCCCGAGGGTGGGACTGTGGCCTGTCCATCACCCACTGCCTGGCACACAGTGGGCCCTCAGGAAATGGTCACTGCCTGTGTCCTGTGCATGGCTCCCCGCTTGCTTGGATGAAAGAGGTGACCCTTGTAGGCCTCACCCTGTCTGTCTCGATGTCTAATAGTGACCCAGTGGTCTACGCAAGAAGCCAGGAGAATCAGACAAGGTGACCCGGGAGCTGAGTGTGTGACTAACCTCTTAATCGACCATCCCTTTCTGTTCCACCTTCCCACTTGGGCCCTGCAGAGCCACCCTGGAGGACGCTTCTGATCCAGAAGGCAGAGGGGCAAGAGCTTTGGCCTCAGAACAGAGGCAGACCCAGCCTGGACTTGGAGGGAGTCAGCTGCAGCCTCCCCAGGCCCCACGTGGAGTTGGCACCTTGCCCGGCCCCGGGATGCCATTTCCTGCTGGCCACTCTAGAAACTGGCGACCTTAGCCTTGTGGTAAAATGGAAGAGTTGAGCCTGAGCCTGCTCGCGCCCACTTCGTCCTCACCAGAGGGTGACGTCGGGAAGGCAGGGTGGCTGGGGTGGGCCTCGGGCACGTCCCCATCACGTCACGTCTCGGGGGCCGGCAGGTGCCACTGCCATAGAAGCTGGTGCTGGCCACCTTCTGGATCCCACGACTCTGACTTTGTCCCAGTGCTGACTCGCCAGGCACTGTGAGGGGCAGTTCTTAGTCCTGGGGCAGTTCTGGAGCCCCCAGATTCCCACTGGGGCACCACGCACACCCCACACACCAGCACAGCCTGCAGAGAACGGCTCTCTCCCAACACGCTGTGTTCCCAGGTCGGTGGCCCCAGGAGATCCACAGCCAGCTGCTGTCCCAGCTGGGCCCCCGTCACTCAGGACAGAAGCCAGGCAGCCTCTGAAATGTGCTACCAGACGCCTCTGGGGACCTTGAAGGGACAAACCTTCAAACCCAGGTTTTAAGTAAAAAGCCCCAGAGAGATCTCTCCAAATGTCGCTTGCCCTGCTCTGTGACAACAGAACCCTGAATTATTCCCCCTCATGCCTTTGAAGCCCCCGGCACAAGGCGATTCAAAGGCCCGTGTGAAGGGACGATCCCAGCCCGCCTGCCCTGCCTGCCTGGGAGCCTCCCATTGGCCTCATTACAGGTGTGCACCCCAGCAGTCTCCACAGACCTGACAGGCGCTGGGCCTGCCGGGAGCAGCAGCCATCACAGTGAGGGGAGGCGGGACGTGAGAGCACTGTGGTCTGTGCTCCCACCTTGAACAGCCTCAGTCTGCAGAGGGCCTTTGGGGCCTGGGGACAAAGGCACCTGCTCTGGACTTGCCTGGGCTGCAGGCCTCTCCTCCCTGCCCAGGCTGGAAGGCCACAGGACCCACTCACCAAGCTGTTCCCTCAGGCAGCCCTCCCCACTCTCCGCCCAAGCCAGCTGGTCCTGAATCTGGCAGTCCCACAACAGGACTTCAGATTCGCCAGGGTGCTGGTTCACAACGAAGATCCCAGGGCTACACCTGGTCCCATGTGGTCAGAAGACCTAGGGGGACAGTCAGCCAGGGGACCTGCATGCAAGCCCCTCCTCAGGGACCCCCGGGCTGGTCCAGGGCCCCCTGAATGTCTGGGCTTGTCAGCCGTGCCATGCTTTGGTTCCTTGATTCTTTTGTTATTGTTATTCGTTAATTAACTAATTGACAAAATTAAACAGATGTTCCTACAAAAATAAATAAAAAGGGAAAACAATGAACAGAAACGCCCTCCCACCCTGGCCACCCTGCCCCTGCCCCAGGACAGTGGGTCACTGATTTCTGTGTCCAGCAGGGGTGATACGCACCCCTCCCCCAACCCCTGCCTCAGCTCATGGGTCTGCAGAGGGGACAGAGCCCCCACAGGTTTGGCATCTTGCTCTTGGAAGTCAGGCTGCCAGGGTGCCCTCATCCTGCCTCTGTCCTCTGCCAGGGAGAAAGGGCATCAGGGCAGAGGGGTGCACTGAGCAGTGGGGAAAAGGAGCCACAGGAGGGTATGAGCTGGGAGCTCCCATCTGGGGCCCCTGAGCAGTGCCCCGCTGGGGTTTAGGGTACTGGGACTCTCATTTCCCAGCAGGAAATGAATCAGTCACCCCCAGCTCTGTTCTCCTCTTAGCCTGTTCCTGAGGCTGCCTCCCCAACACCTGAACCTGTAGTCCAGTCTACACCTGTAAACCAGTTATAATCAAATAGGTGTCCAAGGCCCAGCAGCCAAGTTCCTGTCACCTTGCCAGGACCTAAGCCACCCACCCAGGCCAGAGATCGATGGGGCCGAGTGACAGCTTCCGGTCATCCTGCCACGTTTCCGCCCAGGTCCACATCTGGGCCGGGCACTTTGTAAGCGTCCAGCATCACAGGCCCAGTGGACACTTCCGGTGCAATGCGGTCAGTGCCCCGCCCACAGCCTCACCTCGGAGCTGCCTCTGACCTGCTCACCCCGACAGGGCACAAGCCAGAGCCCCGGGAGCTGCAGGAGATACCCAGGTCCGGCTTCTCCAGGACAGCTCCCAGCTCAGCCCTCCGGGCAAGGAGTGGCTGAACCAGGACATTGTAGGAGGCCAGGCTGGCACCTCCCACGGAGGGGAGCTTCTAGGCCTCAGCCCTCCATTGTCCAGTGTGCCCACACCCGACAATCACTGAGAAAGACCCAACCCCCTCCCCTGCACGCTCAGGTCTTGCCAAATCACAACTGACAGAGTCTCCTGAAGAGCTGTACCTTAGAGCTAGAGTTGTGCTCCTGAAAGGCTACAGACCCACATGGTTCAAAGAACCTCCATGGCTGTCATTTACTTAGTACCTAACTTGTGCCAGGAGCATTCACAAGGCCTGGTTCTCCAGAGTGCTCACTAAGTGATCCTGGATCCACGGCTGCCATGCAAGGTTGTGCAGGTTGCTCACTGCACAAAGTATTCTCTCTCCACATCCACACACCAAGGAGTCAAGGGAGGGTCCCCGCTCCACTCTGTAATCCACACCCGGGGACTCAGGGCTGTGCTTGACAGGGACAGAGCAGACTCCTCTGCCAAACCCAGAGCAAGTATGAGCTCACGCAGAGGAGTCCTATCCTCTAACAACAGCGAAGACCTCTCAGTATGTGCCACGGTGGTCCTCGCCAGGTCTGGGTCTCACCTGGGTTTTCATGATGGTCTTGATGGCTGCCTCAAACTCCTCTGAGTTGTTGTAGTCCACAGTCCACACGTGGGGTTTGCCGATGAAGTTCTCGGCGTAGGGATGCTGGGAGAACACCTGCAGGGGCGGCCAGGTGTCTCCCCGCACTCCCCTGGGCCCTCTCTCCCGGGGCCCAGTCTCCCTCAGTCCCCCTCCCAGGCTGGCCCAGCCCTTCAACTCACCTCCCTGGAGGTGGGCTTGCCCCGGAAGAACTCGTGGTTGAGGGAGCTGTGCGGCGGGCTGAACCGGGACTGCAGGAAGACGCAGCCGTTGGCAATGGCCTCCAGCGGCGCCGGGCCCTCGTAGGGGAAGCCAAACCCTATGAAGAGCTGAAGCGGTGGGGTTGCACAATGGTCAGCACAGGCTGGGCTGCATGGCCCAGGAGCCCCAGGTGGCCAGGGCAAGAAGAGGGATGGGGCATTTGCAGGAAGCAGCAGACAGTAAGGAGCCCAGAAGAGCAAGCCCTTCCCTCCCGGGCTCATGCAATGAGAGGGTCCGGTTCGGTACCACTGATGGCCTCTTCTCCCTCTTTGGGCTGAGTCAGGAGGGGAAGGGGAAAGTGGCGGGGAGTCCCAGCACAGAAGGCTGCAGACTGGCACTGCAGGTGGCCTCAAAAGAACTCCACTCACATCCTAAAAACATGCATTCGGGTGCTAGGCGTGCACACGGGGCTGGTGCCTGGCTGGTGCTAAGAAAAAGCTCTGAACCTAGGGCCTGCGGGTGAAGATGTTCAGGTTTTTCACTGCACAAGCCTATCCTCTGCGTTCCCAACACACATGCAAGCGCGCACACCCAGAGACTGAGGAGGGAAGCTTTGAGGAGAACTGGGAGGGCCCGGATGCGGGCTGGAGCACCTCTGTCCTCAGCTGAGACTCCATGGCCAGCAGGGCTGTGCCCACTGCGCCAGCTGCTGCTGTGGGGGGATCAGCCCCACAACTCCACGCCGACCCCTGGGCCTGTGCTACCATAGCTCCCGAGTCCAGCCTGGCTCAGAAGCCCATTGCGCAGCACTGCTACTGATGGGGCAGCAGGGCAGGTAACTGCTCTCCCCAACCCCGTGTGGCCCCGCTGGTCCTGCCGGCCCCTCCCTGTACAGCCTCCCTGCCCACGGGGCAGCCACCTCTGGCCCTGGGCTCTGGCCAGGTGTGTGTGCCAGGGCGGGGCTCACTTTGGCTTTGCGAAGCAGCTGCTGGAACTCAGGCTGTGGCAGGAGGCCGTGGTTCTTCACGAAGGCTGGGACCTCGGGGGGCCGCTGGCTCTCATAGTACACGGTGCCGTGGATCTCCATGTACTTGTTCAGGATGGCCAGGAACTTCTCCTTCCCCTGGGGGAAGACGAGGAAGAAATGGGGCCTCATCCTGAGCTAGGAAGCAGAGCCAGCAAAGGAGGCATCTGTCTCCCTGTCCACCATCCATCCACCCATCTGTCAGTCTGTCCATGTAACTGTCCATCCATCCGTGAGTCTACCCGCCCGTCCACCCACCCATCCACCCATCCATCCAATTGTCCATCTAGCCATCCAGCCACCCAGCCACCCATCCATTCCTTTCTCTACCCAGCCTAGGAGAGGGAACATGGATAGAACGCCATGCTTTGGATCGGAACTCTATGGGAGGCCTAGAAGGAAGTGGTCAGACCCAGAGCCGCCCTTACCAAGGTCATATCTGTTTATGTTTTCTCAGTCACTACACTTGACTAAGGTGATGTGGGACGGTGAGGGTCCCCAGCCACAAGCCAAGAGTAAAAGCAAATCTTCTCTAAAAGAAAGTAGCATCATCCTTGACCCAGATTATTTCTATAGTTTTTCATATTCATTTTCCAGAACTAAAATAAAATAAAATAAAATAAAATAACCAATGAGATTCTAATCAAAATCCCAGCAGGCTTTTTTGGTAGAAATTAACAAGCTGATTTGAAGCTCATTTGTAAATGTCAAGGGCCTAGAATAGACAAAACAACTTTGAAAGTTAGCAGGCCTATTGCCTGCTTGCAAGACTTATCACAGAGTTACAGTAATCAAGACAGTGTGGTATTGGCAGCAAGAAGATGAACAGATCAATGGAACCATAGAGAGTCCTGAAATAGACCCTCACATGTGTGTCCAGTCGATTCTTGACAAAGGTGCACATTTCTGTGGAGAAAAGGAAGGATGGTCTTTCTGACACATGGTTAAGGAACCCTGGAAAATCCATGTGGAAAAGAGGGTGCGAAAGGTGGGGAGGGAGGAAGAAAGAAATGCAACAGTTTTCTTTCCAAGGGAACCCAGTAGGGACCAATATTAAGTGGAAGGGAGAGGAAGCAGAACTTGATTCTTCATATTATATGTAAAAGTTAATTCAAAATGGACTCAGATACAATGCTTAAAACTGTGAAATTTACAGAAGAAAAATATGGGAGAAAATATTTTTGGTCTTGGGTTACACAAAAATGCCCCGGATACAGCACCAAAATCACTATTCAGACAAGAAACCTGAGTACATGAAAAGAATAGATTTCACAATTAAAACCCAAGGGAACAGAGAGCCAGTTTCCAGAGCCACCAGACCCAGATTTCAAGCTAAATATGCTGCATACAGTCAGAGAGAAGGAAGATTGGAAACCAAACAGAAATCCTAGAAATAAAAATGTAATGACTGAAATTAAGAATTAAATGGATAGGGCCGGGGATTTAGCTCAGTGGTTCGGTGGCCTGCCTTGCAAGCACAAGGACCCGAGTTCAATCCCAGGTGCCAAAAAAAAAAAAAAAAAAAAAAAAAAAAAAAAAAAAAAAAAAAAAAAAAAAAAAAAAAAAAGAATTAAATGGATAGAATTAGCAGTAAAAGAACTTATTTGGTGAAAAAACACCAGAATCAAGCACAGAGAAACTGAAAGATGAAAATTACAGCAGAGAATGTAAGAAAGCAAGAGGGAACCATGGAGATCTGCTGTGTGTGGATAAATGGAGTCCCAGAAACAAGAGAGAGAGAGAGAGAGAGATTGGGATAGAAGCAATATTCAGAGAATTTTATAAAACTAGTGAGCTATCAAACCACAGGTTTGAAAAAACCTGCAAACTCCATATAAGTTTTTTTTTAAAAAACCACATCTATGCATATAGTAAAACTGCCACCTTGTAATGACAGAAGCCAGAAGACAGCAGATTCTTTCCATGATGAGAGAAAGCAACCACCAAGCTAGAATCCTGTAGATGGCAAATATTTCCTCGAGAATCAAGGTGAAATAATGGTATTTTTAGAAAATCAAAAGCACAGCTAACCCAAGCTACAGGTGTTCTTTATGTAGACAGGTAATGATCCCAGACAGAATCTCAGAGATAGAAGTAGAACACAGAGCAGCTTAAAGGAAAGAGATGGATAAATCTAAATAAATAACTGTAACATACTGCAGGGTGTAAAATAAATATAGAGAAGTAAAATGTAATAAAAGCATTTCCATGGGGGAGAGGTGAAATAAAATATTTTTAGTTTCTTTTCTTCTCATGGAGGGTACTGTGGATTGAACCCAGGCCTTCACACTGAGCTATATCCCCAGTCCCTTTTTCTATTTTTTATTTAGAGACAGGGTCTCTCTAAGTCACCGAGCTTCTCAGGCTGGGTTTGAACTTTCAATCCTCCTGCCTCAGCCTCCCAGAGTGCTGGGATTATAGGTGTGAACCACCACAGCCAGCTACACTGCTGTTTCTTAACTCATAGCTGCGATCCTGTCCTTCCTCCCGTCCCTGGTCCACTTCCTCTCACCAGCACAGAGGGGTCCTAACTTTGGAGGTGCAGTTTTTCCCCAGGGCAGTTCTAACAACTCACTTGCCCAGGCTGGACTCAAAGCTTTCCATCCTCCTATCTCAGCTTCCAGGGTTTAGTTTCTTTTCTTAGTAAAGTAAGAGTATTCGTTTACAATTAGACTTTGGTAAGGCAAGGACACATGCTATAGTTTTTGGGTCCACCACTTAAATAACATCAGTATAATAAGTCAGATAAAGTGGGGTGGGCTCGTACAGGTGCTGCTAGCACTTTTCCATCTCCGGCAACTTCCCCGTTAGCCTTCACCTCCTGCCGCCTGCCTTCGTCCCTAACCTGTCCAGCTCCGCCCTCCCAGCCCTAGCCACTGCCTGTGGTCAGTTTCCATACCTGGAGCTGCCTCATCACCACGGAGCACAGGGGACAGAGGAGAGAGAGTAGGTTAGTGTCCAGGCAGCAGACAATCCCCCTCCTGTACACGCAGCTCCTCCCTGGGGCGCCAGCCCTGAACGCGGGATTCTAACCTCTAAAGCTCTCACTGCCTCTCATCCTAGAGTCCTCACACCCGCCTACATCCTCTCACGCTGTGTGTGTAGGGCCTTATATTGCTTATTGATTCCTTCGGGGGTGGGGTGATTTACTCATAGCCCTGGATAAAGGAATCACCTGAGTTTATTGCAAACGACTTGGGGGCAGACCAGGGGACAAGTCAGCCCGCAGGATGGGTGGCTTTTAAACGACAGGGACTTTTAGCCCTGAGCCATTTAGTGGGAGACGTTTTTTCATTTAGCGCTGGCGGTGGTGGATGGGCGCTGAGGTCTAGGAGGAGCTACCAGGTACTCGGTGCAGGGAACCAGTACCTGGTCCTTCAAGCACAACCAGTAGGGCCTTGGGAGAGCCCTGCACGGCAGAGGGCGTGGCCAGAGCCAGCATGGGCGGGCCCTCACTGCATTGGGCGTGGGATTGCCGACATGAGTGTGGTCAATAAATCGGCGGGCCTGACCTGGCCTGCAGGGGCGGCACCAATACCCGCATGGGTGTGGCTACTCAGCAGTGGGCGTGGCCGGCTCGGCGGTGGGCGTGCCCGCGCTCACCTTCCAGATACTCGCCTCCTTGCCGTACACTACGGCCATGTTGCTGGCTTTGCCGCCTTTGATGAGCTGCTTCTCCGTCTCGTTGAGCTCCTCGGACACGAAGCCCATGAAGGAGTTGTCCGGGGTGTGAGCTGCAGCCCGACCACGTAGAGGGAAGGGTGTTACCAGACAGCCAAGGACTCGCCCAAGTCTCCCCGGGCTGGCTCTGTCCAGAGGTTTCCTCACTGGGCAGGGTGGGGAAGGGAAGGGGGAAGTAGGGGTCTGGCGAGGACAAGGTCATGCCTGCCTTATCCTGGGCACCTCTTTCCAGACAGTGTTACAGAGCGTGGAGCAGAGATCTCAGAAGCCATCTAGCCACCACCCCCCATTTTCAGATGAGGAAACGGAGGCCCAGGGCCCCCAGCGACCCAGCCAGGCCACGCCTGCCTCTGGCCTGGCCACTGGGACAGGCGCCTCCCTCCACCTGCGGTGTCCTTGGCACAGTCTTTCTTCCAGAGCCATCCGTCCCTTCTAGGTCCTTCCAGCTACCTCCTCTGCACAAGGGTCCCTGGCTCTGCCCATCCCCCCTTGGAGGTGTCCCTTGCCCGGTCTCCCGGCCTGCAGAGGTGCACCCCCTCTCCTGATAGTCTGCTCCCAAGTGGCCCTGCTGGGGAGGGGCAATCTCTCCAGACCCGTTTGCTCCTTGTCCCCCCACCCTGCTTTATTTTTAGCACGACAATCTCTGACCAGATGTTATATTACATATTCATTTGTACGTTTATTATTGTCAGGATATAAGCCCCATGGATGACTGCATGGATACCACACGGATGCGCCATTTTCCCACCTCTGAACTCTTGCGCTTGCCTGCACTGCCCTCCTCCCTGTTCTGGGATGACAGAATCCTATCAGAGTCATGGCCCCACTCCCCTGTATTCTTCTCCCAGAAGCCTCTGTGGTCTCTGAGCCCTCCCTGACTGCCTCGCCCACTATCTCAGTTAAAGCTGAGATCTCACTGGGACTTCCGCATGAGACTTGGGGGGGCAGAGCCCCACCCCCAGGCCAACGAGTGAGGGCCATACACTTATAAGGCACGATCCCTCCCTTCCACGCGCTAAGACCTTGAATAAAATGTTGTACAATCGAATTAAATTTACTCTGCTGTCCCTAGGTGGAAGAGGCTCAGGCCAGTGGGGAGGTCCAAAGCACACTCTGGATTTCTCCATTTCAACTATTCTCAAATTGGGATATCCAGGTTCGTGGAACATGGAGGCTTCATGTGGTGTCTCCCGGACCCTCATCCCGGAAGCGCACGGGAAGTCCTAACATCCGGGCATCTTACAAAGGAGAGGGCTTCCGGTCAAACTGACCAGAGAGCCCCAGATTTCTGGGTCTGAAAATCTGACCTTTGCTGACTGCATGAAACAAAACCACCTCTCCTCTAGAGCCGCCTGAAAGGACAGGCTCAGAACACAGCTCACTCAGGTAGTGAGAGTGAGACAGGGGAGGACATTAACAGGGACATTAAGCAAAGTGTTCCTTGGGGCAGGGCCAGGTTAAGGCCCGAGAAGCAGGGGCCCTAGTTATTGAGCTAGGACAGACAACCATCCAGATGAGGACAGAACAGGGCTCGGAAGACCCTCTCAGACTCAGAGTCCTTTTGTTTTGTTTTGTTTTGTTTTTTGAGACAGGGTCTTGATATGTAGTTCAGGCTGGCCTCGAACTCACTGTGATCCTCCTGCCTCAGCCTCCTGAATGCTGGGGCTACAAGTGTGCACCACCACTCCCAGCCTGACGGGAAGTCTTTTGAACTGGCGAGAATCTCTCCTCTTTTTTGTCCCCTTTCTTGAATTTATTTAATCAATTCATAAGAACTCCAGAGAGAATACGATCAATTAATTAATACCCCCCTTTTAAAGTGGTTCATAATCCATCAGCGGAAATAAATGCATAAGCAAATAACTATCACACTTCAATATATGCTTCTGTAGAGTTCAGTTTTTAAATTAGGAAAATAAAAGTTTGGAGTCAATAGACTCTGCTTGGAATAGGTGATGAGGGGGACAGTGAAAGCAAGAGTAAAAAGAAGAGACTTGGGGCTTTGCAGGATGAGTAGAAGTTTGCCAGATGTAGAACTCTCCATCCAGTGGACTCTACCCTGGGACAGCCCCTCATTTTCTCAGTGTAGGTTATTGCAGAATCCTCTTAACGCATCTTCTACTTCTCCATTCTCTACCACCCCCTCGGGCCATCTGTAACTTCCTAGGTGAATATACCTCAGTAAAATATTTTCTCCACAGCATGCTCTGGCTCAAGAACCCAGAATGGACCCCAAATGTAAGCAAGACTTTCCCTAGAACACTCCACTCCTTGATCCCTGATCCCTCAGGACCCTCTCACCAGTTCCTGCTGCTTCCTTTCTTAGCAGACTGCAGCTCTGCACCTCTTCCCCTTCCTGGGCATCTCCAACCCTCGCCCACACTTGCATTCCCTCCAGAAGTCTGTTCCCTGGGACGCCCTATGCAAACAACTCTTTCCATAGCAGGGCACTGAGGAAAGAGTCTGGTGCCCACCGAGCTGTGTGATCTCAAGCAGGTCCCTCTACCTCTCCGGGCCTGTTTCTTCCTCTGGACTCCACCATAGCGCCCTTCTCGGACGCAATCAAGCTGTTACTCATTTCTTCAGAAATCACACCCTTTCCCCATGCAGCCCAGAACCTGGAGAACAAGACTCGCACGCGCAAAGATGAGCACCCAAAAGAAACACCACAAATTTGACAGGCTAAATAAAGATCGTTCACGTTACTCACCAGCAAGCCCCCTCAGGACTTCGCCTGGAATCTATTTTGCTCTTAATTTAGATACAGTCCTAACAAGAGTGCTTATCTGGCTTTCTGGCCCGCAGCCTTCAAAGAGCAGCAAATTAGACGTGCAAGATGCCACTGGGGCCAGCAGAATTGACAACAATAAAAAGTGACAGCTGATACTCTTCCAGCAAGGGCCAGGCTAAACGGCAGAGCAGGCAGGACGGAGGAGGGGACTCGGCTCGGCAAAACTGGGCCCTGAAGGGCGGGCCCTGCGCCCGAGCCGGAGAACAGCCACGAAAGGATCCATAATTTTCAGCCCACCGTACCTAATAGGGTCGGTCCGTGTGAATGCCTACTGAGGATCCCACCGGAAATAGTGAAGCCCAGAGTCTTGGCCCACGCCTAAAATCCCAGCACTCCGGGCGGCTGGGGCAGGAGGATTGGAGCCCAGCCTGGGCAACTTAGTGAGACCCTGTTTCAAAATTAAAACTAGATAAGGGGCTGGGGCGGTAGGTCGGGGGAAGGCCCTGGGTTGAATCTCTAGTGTCGGGAAGGAAAAAAGAAAAGGCGAGAACATGCTCTCCTCCAGCTCTTAACTTTCAGCCTCCTGCGTTGCCAGAACCTTTTGTTTCTTAGCACCTCCATCCGAACACACCTGCCCCCTCTGCTTGGAACAGGCTTCCTGTTCCCCTGCCCGGAGAAGTTTCCAGGCCCCTCTGAGGCCCTGACTCTGCGCCCCGACCCCAGGGCTCCCTCCCGGGCCCCGCCTGCCAGAGGGAGAAGGCGGGGCCTGGCCCACTCTCCACACTCATAGGAGGACGAGGGTGAGAGGACAGCCCGGAGCCCGCCCCCGCCACGGCCCCAGGCGCCGCCACTCACGGAACATGGTCATAAACTGCTTGGGGTTGAGGTTCCAGTAGCCCCAGTTGGTCCGGTATCCGTGCAGCGTGGCGTACTCCTCGTGGTTATATGCAGGTTCCGTCCCGAAGGTGTCAATGACCCTGATTCGGCACCTACCCCCACCCCCAGGGACCCAGAACCAGGGTCATGCCTCTGTGTGTCCCTGTACCCCGCAGGTGGCTGGGTCAGGGTAGTGCCTTGCGTGCATGCGCTGCTAGGGCCTGGGGAATTGTGTGACCTCAGCCAATTCCCTAACCTCTCTGCGTCAGCATCCCCATCTGTCTCGGGGCTCTTGGCAGCTCCTGACCCCACCATGGGAGCTCAGAAGCTGTTAGCTGGGGAATGGAGGAGCTGCTTGGGGTGGGGGTTGGGGATCCCCACTGCCCACAGGTCACGTGTAGGATTTGGGGTTTGCACTTTTCTGGGTGGGCAGCAACCACCCGTGGGTCCCAGGCATGAGTGGCCCTGTTTGAGACTGCAGTGCCCTGAGACTCCAGCAAGTTTGCTGCTGGGGTGGACAGAGCTCTCTGCCTGTCAGACAAGCTTCAAGTTCAAAGCCCAAAGGATCAGCCAACCCCCGGGCCAGGTCTGCTCTGACACCACAGCTGCAGAATCTCCCCACTGTTCTTCCCATCCTGGGAGTGGCCCCTGAAGAAAAGCGCTAAAAGGCCGACGACGCCCCCCCCAAGAAGCTCCTAGCCCCAGCTCCTCTCTGGTGACCCAGAATCCACAGCAGAGTGCTGAGGTCAGCAATATTCCCTGGGCGAAGGGGCCAGGGAGGAGGAGGAGAGCGCTGGGTGCATAGAGAACACGCATTAATAATAAAAGCAATAACGCTGCCCGTCACTTTTTTTTCTCTAATAAAATCATGTGGGCTAGTCAACGGGACAGAAGTAAATGTAATAAATAGAAGTGCTCCCTGCACTGAATTAAAGTCTGCATCCTGGCTGCAGAGACAGGGAGAGGTGGCACCTGCCTGGCCCAGACCTCACTCCTCCACCCTCCCCGGCTCACCGGTTCCTCTCGCCGCAGCTCTGACCCGTCCACGCAGGTTACCCCTGACCTCCACCCCCAGCCTTAAGGGACGGAGCAGAGGGACAAAGGGGGTGCCTCTCCTGGGTGGATGGGAAATGGTTAGGGGACAGAGGCAGGGGAACAGAGGCAATGCCCTTCTGCATCCTGGGGCCCCAGACATGGGGCAGGGCGTGGGAAGGGGCTTCTACGCTGGCCTACAGTGGTCCAGGCTCCTGCTCCACACCACCGCCCTCCCGTACCCACTCACCGGTACTTCTTGAAGGACAGTCCCATGTGCTGCTTCATCTGCTGCAGGCCGTGGTAGTCAGTGTAGATGAGGTCGAAAGGCAGGGGCATGGTGAGTGGGCAGTTCCCCCGACCTGGCGGCACCCCTAAGTTACTGAGAGAAGAGTCTTTCAGAGTCTGAGCCCCAAGAAATCCATCTTGCTTGAGCCAGGGTGGGGGTCTTAAGCTCACCTCAGGTCCTATGGCCCAGGGTGAAAAGGGACTGAATAGGATTGCTGTGTACAGTGGTACAGGTTTTTCACTGAACAAAGGAATCCAACCAGAGGCAAAGGGGGACTGAGATTCAGCCTGCCAAGCTGAGCTCTTGGCCTGGACTACACGCAGAAGGGGTGCATTTTGTAATTGCCTCAGTGTGCTCCTCCTGCAGGGCTGGATCCGCCCAGAAGGGAGCCTTTAACTTATATGGCTGGTCCTCGGCTGTCATGGTTTAGATCTATGGTGCCCCCCGAAAGTCCCATGTGCTCAGAGGTGGGGTTTTTCAAAGGTGATCGGATCATAAGTTGATTCACCCACTGATGAGTTCATGGTCAAATCTGCTGTTAGGGAGTGAGGCCCGGTTGGAGGAGATGGATAACTAGGGGCACGACAGGAAGGCCTTCTGGTCCTCCTGTCTTCCTCTCTCTGCTTCCTGGCTGCAACGTGTTGAGCAACTCTCCTCTGCCAGGCCCTACCCCATGCCATTCTGCCTTGGAGCCAGCCAGACGGGGACTGAACCCTCTGAAACCACGAGCCACGGAACCACGAACTTCTCCTCCTTTGAGTTATGGGCGGTGTTTTTGTCCTAGCAAAGGGAAAGTGACTAATACATCGGTGTACTTTTAGTGTTAGCTTGGAGCCAAGAGTCCCAAACCTCCTGGCTCAGAAAGTTATGTTGCCCTGCTGGCAGGGCTCCTGGGACCCCAGAACATCCAGCCCCTACAAGTCTCTAGCCATAAGGTGTGGCTTCCAAGTCTCTGGGGACCAGAGGCCTGCCTGTCCCTGCTTGCTGGGTCACGTATATGCCCACTTTCATCCTGGACAGGGCTGCTCCAGGTGACCCAGGACTCTGCTCATCCAGACTGGGCTACCCCATGCCCCAGGTGGCCAGAGGAGAAAGCCCAGGGTCTCAGGAGTCCTGAGCCTGCACCCAGGGCCTGCCCTCCCCATGCGGTCTTCCCATTTATCTGTTTAACAGGTATTACTTGTGTGTATGTGGGGCAGCAGGCCCTGTGTGCAGTGGGACATGGGACACCTCCTTCCCAGGGGCAGAGTCAGATGAAGAGCTTTTGGCCTGGGACAGAGGCAGAGGTGGGAACAGACTGCGCCAGCAGCAGCCGGGAGGCGTGTCTAGGCTGTCTCGGTCCATTGCTGGGACAGGCAGAGTGCCACAGGGAGGGACCCGGGAGCCCCATTTCCGACTTTCTGGATGGATGAAGCATCCCTGTATGGTTCTGAGTCCACCCCTGCCTCTGACCATGGCCTCCTCTGGATTCTGGTTCAGAGCCAGCGCTGGAAGAGGCTCCAAGGGCCTCCCATTGAGTCCCCTCCCCCAGATCCTCGTGACGGGCAAACCCAGGCCACGAGGTGATGTGCTTGGACAAGGACACTGATTCAATCATGGCAAAGGACCACGCTCAATCAATTGCCTAAGTTATGTCTCGTGCTCCCTGACATCATCCAAGCCAGGTGGAAAAATACCGGCCGGGAGCCGGGCCGTGTCTGCGCATGCTCAGCACGTCTGTTACAGGAGCTGGGAGGCCGCCGGTGCTCGCTGTCCCCTGAGCGCACTGCCCAGAGTGGTGCTTTTCGGTGATGTCTGTGGTCACCACCCAACGGGGTGTGATGGAAAGGCGTGGGGGAAGTTACTCACCATGCGATCCCGGCCTGAGATATGCTATGTCCAGCAGAGAAGAGGAAAGAAGGGAGGGGCCCTCTGTGCCTGCCCCCACCAGCCTGGGGCACCCCGGCCTCTCGGCTGCCCCACAGCGACCTCCCCACCCGGTGAGAAGCAGTTCTACTTCGTTCTTGTTCATACTCTGACCGATGGCCACCGCTCCGGCCCCAACCTGCCCGCCCTCCCGGGCTGCCTTTCCCAGCCAGACCCGCCTCCCCACAGGACTCAGAACCAGCGCTTCTCAGCCAGTGATCCTCTTAAGCTTTTTTGTTGAAAGACCGAGACAGCAAAGGAGAATGAGCACAGACCCCAGGGGTCTGGAGCTTTCCCAGGAAGCAGCTCCCACAATCTGGAGAATTCGTGAAATATCGGGTAGCATTTCCAACTGCGGAACACATTCTACTTTCTACCCCGAAGGACATCTTGGTGTTTTCTGTGTGAAGCACTGCCTTTCCCATCCCCCAGACTCCTCCAGTTAAACTGATGACCCAGAAAGAGGCCTCACTTTTGTCCTGGGGCTCCAGAGGTGTCAGGGAGGGGACAGGTCCCAGCTCCTCATCCTCACTCTCCACGCAGCTGAGAGCCACAGACAAAAGAACACAAAGATAGTTCCTTGCAGAATGGGGGAGGAGGAAGCAGGTGGCCACTCCTCCCAGGTGGTCTGGTAAAAAGCATGAACCAGAGTATGTGGGTCTGGGAGCTGCTCCCATCCCCGAGACATGATGCTTTTCCCACACACTTCCTGTTGGTTTCCAGGCAACGTGCATCCCTTAGTCCCCAGGGCTTCCTTTTGCTGACGCCTCACACACTATACTTCTGACCTCGGTTCTAGACACCAGGACCCCTGAGGATAGATGGGCAACAGCAAGTGGCAGCTGTCTCCTAAGAGAGGTCCTGAGGGCATCCCCAGGCCATCCAGGTGCCATCATCTTTATCATCTTTATGGCTACATTTTGAACACAGGCACCATTCCAGATCTTTCGATGTAATTCATCAATTCATTTCATGTAAGAGATCAGACCCACTTACATTCTGTTCCCCTTTACAGAGTGGGAAACAGAGAGGTTTAATAATTTACCAGGATCACGCAGCCAGGAAAGACAAGCTGGGATGGAAGCCCAGAGAGTTGGGCTCCAGGGCCCACACTGGCACACAAGGGGCTCTCCTGCCTCCCAGGCCCCAAATGTCTGGAAGCACAACGATGCTTTATGGACCACAGAGACATCTAGGTAGTTAGGGCCCTGGCTGCCAGCAAAGATGCAGCTCCCGTCCCTGTCTTGCTGCAAACCTGTGGTGAGTCAGAAGTCTCAGGGAGTTTCACTTCCTCTGGAACCCAAGTCCCCCAGCACCTCACTTCGGGCCCCAAGAATTCCTCACCCACAATCTTGAGATCATTTCCAGTGCCCCTCCTGCTCCCAGCCTCACCTGCCTCTTCCATCGAGGACTTCCTAGACCTGCTCCCACCTCCAGGGGTTCTGAGCCTCTCCCAGGCCCCTCACATCCCCAGCTAACCCTGCTGGAGTTCGGGCCCCTTCCCCACACCCTGTGTCCCCAGGGCCTACAGTGACCCCTGCTGGTGTCAGGGGAGCAGGCTGGGTGGGACTGAGGACCCTTCGTGCACCTCCCAGTTCCAAGGTGCCACCTCCGCACCCCCTGGGGGGGTTGGCTTCCAGATGCAGAGCCCAGAGCAGCAGTCACCAGCACCCACCTAAAATAAGTGAGACGAACACTTCCTGCTCCGGTCACACACAATACCAGGTGCAGCAGAAATTTCAAAGTCCCGGTCACCACCCTCCCTGCTGACCCTTGGGATGATTCCATGGGATGGCGCCCTCCTGCACAGAAACTTCCCTCCACCTAGAAGGTTGTCTGTAGCCTCCCCAGATCCCCATGTCTCTCTCTCTCTTCCCCTCCTGTGCTTTTCTCTCTTTGCCTGAACACCTGAACACACCTAGTAACTAAGTCACTTTCTACCCGCTGGGGGCTCCTGAGGGCACAGCCTGGTCATCTTTGAAAGTTCAGGGATGGGGACAGGACCTGGCCCAATGAATATCTGTTGGGGCCATGAAAAAATCAACAGATGAGCCAGGTGTGGTCTCTCTCTCTTCCCCTCCTGTGCTTTTCTCTCTTTGCCTGAACACCTGAACACACCTAGTAACTAAGTCACTTTCTACCCGCTGGGGGCTCCTGAGGGCACAGCCTGGTCATCTTTGAAAGTTCAGGGATGGGGACAGGACCTGGCCCAATGAATATCTGTTGGGGCCATGAAAAAATCAACAGATGAGCCAGGTGTGGTGGTGCATGCCTGTAATCCCAGCACTCGGGAGGCTGAGGCGGGAGGATCACTGTAAGTTTGAGACCAGCCTGGGCTACATAGTGAGTTCCAGGTCAGTCTCAACTACATAGTGAGAGACCCTGTCTCAAAACAAACAAACAAACAAAAAACCCCCAAGAAACAAAAAAATCGACAGATAGCTGGTCTGTCAGGCCCTGAAAAGACTGCTCTAAACGGGTGGACAGAGGCAGTGAGGAACAAGGAGCAGAGACTGGGGAGCAACGGGCCTACTGGGTGTGAGGGCCACGCGCGGGGCCCCCAGGGTGGGGGGCAGGAGGCAGAGACTGGCCCGGGGACACCGCGCCCCCTTCCTGGGTTCTCCCAGCCCAGAGGACTCGGTTTCCATTTGAGTTGACCCCACTGAGGTGGCCTCCTTGCTCTTGTCTCCAGGAACCTGGGCTTCCTCGCCCATGGAGAGCAGCGGGGTTAGCTACCCAAGAGCTGGCTTTAGGTTTATCGCCTGTAATTCAAGTTCACTTTTATGGGCAATTTTACACTAAGTGGCGGGCTGGAGCATTGGCAGGAATTGTAAAACTCTCCTCTCAAAAGCCTCCAGCCGCGGTGCCCAGAGAGGTGTACCAGGAGTCCCCACTGAAGAGCTTCTTGCAGACCACCCCCATTCTCCAAGGCCCGGTTCCTGTTTCCAGTGGACCTTTAGCCAGGCCTGGATCAAAGGGAGGGTCTCAGAGCTCCCAAGGACAGTGAGTGGGCTCTCAGGCGGAAGATACGGCTCCCCTCCTTACCAGGCAGGTGCAGGACAGGAAAGCTGTGTTCCTAAATGTCCCTAGGCCACTGGAGCAGGAGTCTAAACACCCCGGGGTAGGGTGGGGTCGGGCGAGCCAGGAAATGGAGTGTGATACAGGTCCTGTGGTGATGGCTCAGCCTC